GAAAAAAAAGAAAAGGATAGGAAATAAATATGAAAATTAAAAAGGGTAAATTTAACTAGGAAGGAATAAAATAAAATATAAAAATTAAAGTTAAAAATGAAATAACTGTACAACACAAATTAGAATGAAGTTATTTCATTTTTAACTTTAATTTTTATATTTTATTTTTTTTATATATTCTTTTATAGCTCAGGATCAACTCTCGGTTAAGGTGATGATAGTACTATGAGCGGGGCCCTGGGTACGTTACTTAATTTTACTGGTAAACAGCAGAAACAATTAACCAATTTTAACCTTTGTACTTAGAAGTCTTGGCGGTGGCTCCACTCAGTGAAAATAATATGAGTTCTGTTTAATCTTCACTAAGAATCGTGAATTTATCTAACATGTTAACCCGTTGTTACTTTGTAGTAATCGTTACCACTTATAAACTCTGTAAATAATAATTATGACACAACACAAAACTTTAAATTCAAGATGTATTTAGTCAAAATAAAGTATGATTTAAATAAAAAAAAATACAATATTCCAAGTTCTGAAGCGTTTCCTTACAATTCAATTGGATGTTTTCTCTTCACACTCACAGTCAATGTTTTAGAAAACACATTTATCCCACAATCCCTTTAAGTTCAGTTCAGATTTGTAACCTTTGCGAGCTCATGTACTGAAACCGTTGCAGGCCTGGTCCTTGCTCGGGCTCGTTGGGCCAGAAAACACACAAACGGCCGCTTCACTTGTTAAACAAGCAGAAAAACAAAACGCACGTGCTCAGGTCTACTCCCAAATCCGTTGGGCTAAGTGCGAGGGCGAGCTGAGGGGCAGGCTCGCTTTGTGACCGGCAACGCTGCTGAGTACACTGGGACAAACCCACGGAAATCCTATCCACAGCAGAAGGGTCCAGAGGATTCCTCCACTGTGCCTTCGAGATTACTATTTAGTTTCATAGAGTAATCTGTAGCTTACTACTCGGCATACATACTGGCTCTAAAATGCTAACATGCTAACTCGCGATAACATCATACATTTTAAGTACTTCTACATTCTGTTTAAGCTCAATACTACATTCAGTACTCACTCATCACAGGGTAAACAGCGCATAACATGAAGGTAAATAGCCTGTGAGCGCTTTACACATCCAGTCATCCACACACTGGTGATGGCAGCTATGTTGTAGCCACAGCCACCCTGGGGGGCACTGACAGAGGCGAGGCTGCCGGACACTGGCGCCACCGGGCCCTCTGACCACCACCAGTAGGCAACGGGTGAAGTGTCTTGCCCAAGGACACAAGGACCGAGACTGTCCGAGCCGGGGCTCGAACCGGCACCCTTCCGATTACAAGACGAACTCCCAACTCTTGAGCCACGATCGCCGGTAGACTCTGCATCCACGGCTATTGTTTTTGACTATTCTCCCGTTAGCTCGCCATCCTCCTCCGGTAACGTGCAGCTGCCGACTCTCACCAGCTTAGTTAGTGTTTTTTTCTTTCGCCTCGCTTAGATCCCGCCTTCCTTACGTCTGATTGGACAATAGATTTACATCACCCAATGGGATAGACGAAAATACAAGATTGACAAGCCAAAATGAACTCGTAAAACAACTTGCAGCAAATACAAAGTTTTCCTTGTTTCACATTAGAAAACAAACCTTTGGTTTTCTTGTAACTTTTAACTCCGTGAACACTTAAATTATGATTGACTTCTATTTATTGTGATTTTAAACACGTTTTTAATGCATTTGAATTCTTTTTTTGTTTTTTAAACACATGTGAAATATTTACAATAAAGTCTTTACATGACAATGTTTATATCCTTTTAACCTGTAGGGTCTAAAATAGATATTTGAGACCAGGCTACACTAATAATCCTGGTAACAGAGTGTATGAACTTACCGTAAATCCTGGACTACAGAGCGCACCTGATTAAAAGCTGCATGCTCTAATTGTAGGAAGAAAATCAATTTTGTACTTGTACAGGCCCCACCGTATGCGTTTCACCTGTAATATGAGATACACAGAAATATTACACGTGAGGATTTTTAACGTTTAATTTAATCTGTAAGTTAACATAAACATGGTAACATAAACGTTATGGTAACATACAAAAATACATACTGCAAATGCTTTTTTTCCTCGAACAGCGCCTGTAACACGGCTACCTTTAAGTACACGTATGCATCAGTAACACACAAATTACGTTGCTTATGGTTTTTTTACGGAACAGCGCACAAACAACATTACAACGTCTATTAACAACCGATAAAAATATATACCGTATACACTACTTATCATTTTGATTGGTCTACTGTTACCAGGCAAAATGTTTTTGGCCGCATGAAAAAAAAAATGCACTAGCCGCACGTCAGTACAAGCTGCAGTGTCCACAGTATGGGGGGAAAGTAGCGGCTTATGACCCGAAAACTACGGTATTTGTGTTGATCAAACTGTAACACTAAAATGACATCACATTGGTTGAGTAGGTTATGACATTTATAAAATAAAAAAACGACAAAGTGAAACAAAGATTTCATTCCAGGCTCGATTCAGTCCCTCCCTCCACGGAGAGCTGGGACGTCTGGCCCACGTCTGCCCTGACTGTGATGCACCTCTCAGGCAAAGAACTCACTGTGTGTGGATATTCAGATTGCTTATAATAAGCCTGCTTATTATGAATAAAAGTTATGCAGGTCTCAAAAAAGAAGGGAAACAAAGAGACACGTTAACATGATGGAAATGAAAAGCAAAACATTTCAATAATGAAAAAGTTTTTATGAATGAATAAAACAGCAAAAACAAGGATTAACAAATGAGTCTAATAAATAAGCAAAAGTAGAAAAAAAAAGAGCTTCAACAAAACGTTCCCAGTGTGAAGCAGGAAGCTGCTGGGAGGCTGACCTCAGTGACGTTTTGGCAGGATGTGGCACCAAAAGCTTTTGAAAACAATAACTTTTTAAAGGGAACAGTTCTGTATTTCACAGGTGCAGATGAGCTTTGTTGTGTGTGTGTGTGTGTGTGTGTGTGTGTGTGTGTGTGTGTGTGTGTGTGTGTGTGTGTGTGTGTGTGTGTGTGTGTG